CCTCTGCTCCAGGATGGAGAAGATCCGCTCGATCCCAATGCTGACCCCCACGCAGGGCACCTTCCGGCCCTTGGGATCAAACATCCCCACCAGCCCGTCGTAGCGGCCGCCTCCAGCCACGCTCCCCACGCCCACCAGCTCCTCCACGTGCTCGTTCTCCTGCTGCAGCAGCACGGCCTCAAAGATCACCCCCGTGTAATAGTCCAGGCCCCGCGCCAGGCTCAGGTCGAAGGAGATCTGCAGGGCACGAGGGCGGCCCCGTCACCGGCCGCTCGGGGGGCCCAGCAGGGCAGCACCCCCTCCTGCCCCCGCACCTCCTCACCTTCCCTGTGATCCCAAACAGGGTCAGGTACTCAAACAGCAGCTTCATGTCCCCCAGCCCCTCCTTGGCCAGCTTGTTCTGCGACAGCTTTGGGTCCTGGAGGAGCCGCTCGATCAGATCCAGCCCACCTGTAGGAACCAGTTTTGCCTCAGGTGTGCCAGGGCAGCAGCACCTGCCACATTGGCCCCAGCCAGCCATATGTGTGCCCTGTGCACCCTCCATCCCCAGAACAAGCCCAAGGGCTCGACCCCCCAGTGCTCACCGTGGAGCTGGACGTACTCCCCGATGCGATCTGCAGCCTCGGGAGAGAGCCCCTTCTCTCCCACCATCTCGCTCCTCACCTCCTCCCACGGCACCTGTGAGGGGACAGAAGGGCATCAGCCACTGAGCCAGGGATGTGGGCTCTCCCAGGGATAGTTCTGGTGGCCCTGCACATGCACATGAACAGACACATCTGCCACCAACAGATCTTTGCACAGTAGAAACCCTTCAGTGTGGTTAAAGGGTGCATGAGAGAAGTAGCAGCTCTCAGAGCACAGTCATATGGTCCTCATTCCATTTCTTGTACCTCTGCACAGTTTGTTTTTGCCCCAACTCCACAAAAATACTTTGGGTTTGATTTGTGTCCAGAATTGAACATCAATTCTGTAAAAACACCGAATCTGAAAGCCATCTTGCTGCTCTGGCTTCCCTGGTTAGGTACCTAGTCAGAAATAATCCCATTCTAAAAGAGCCCAATGGTCCCTTCCTACTGCTTTTCCACACATACACAGCTTCCAAATCCACACTTTAGTCATGCCTGTACAACAGATCTCCCTGCTAACAGGGCTGTGAGGCTTCCTCCAGCTGACTTCATCTGACCATCCAACAAGGCCTCCAAGGGAAAAGGCAGTTCCCCCTTCAACAAAGCACCGTGACCACAAGATGAGACACAAGGCTGCTGTGTTTAACAGGGTCTCACAGGAAGGTTAGGAGCACTCCTTAAAACAATCAGCCCACAGTGTCCCCCACATGACTCTGAACACACAGTTCCTCCAAATTCTACTTTGGATCCCAAGCCAAGAAATCTGAGTTTTTAGACTGCACTTCGCTTCAAGGTTTCTCTTTCTTATTTATTAGAGGAGGACTGTGTAACACACTTATAAACTGATCTCCAGCATCTTTATCTGACAAGGGTCTACAGTCAAGACAATCAGTTGCCCCTACTCTGGCACCTTTCCCTCCTCCCAAGAGCCACAAAATGGCCTGAATCCCTTGGAGACACTCACAACAGCCAGTGCTCTCCAGGCAGCTTGCTGAGCTCAAACCTGTGGGCACCTCCTGCCTTGTGTCTTACAGGGGAAGCTGCACACTGAGGTGGCTTTTCAGTGTCACACCAAACCTGGGTAAACCACACAAACAGTCACATCTATTCTCAGCATGATAAAAGTACCTGTGCTGCCAGCCCAAATCAACAGAGCGTGAATGAAGTGACCAGGGACCTCTTACCCCTTCTCACTCCAAATCCTCTCCTCTCTTTCCAGGCAAAACACAGAAACCTCTCCCATGCACACCCACCTCACTTCTCACTGCTGTTTCCTGAGGGTCCTACACACAGCCAGAGGCACACACTGTCCAGTGGTGCCTGGATCATGCTGGAATATGGCTGCAGGTTCTGTGACCTCCTCAGGGATGCTGAACATCACATCACCAAACAACAACAGCAGCACCTTGCAGGACAGTGTTTATGAGCAGAGTCCTGGACAACACCACGACTGTGCCAGCTGACTCACCTGTGGATTTCCATTTTGCTCTGCCCTGTCACCTCCAAGCTGTCCTGCAGACTGTTACACACTGTCATTTAGGACTGCACTCCTCTACTCCTGCACAACCAGAGACTTAACCTTTATGTCACAGTCGCCTTGCAACTGAAGTCTGAAATTTCAGTAAAGGTTAGACCGGATGATCTTTCAAGATCCCTTCCAATCTGGGCTGTACTGTAATTCCAGGACACAATTGCAGTTCCTCACACCACCTGACTCAACCTAATACATTCAAGAAGGCTTCTCAATGCCCTGGCCCAGTTTGGTGCAGGTTTTCATGAGCCTGGTTCATAAGCAGCAGCACCTTTAGCAGGTGAAGCTTTGGGATGTTGAACCTCCCAAGTGAAGAGCATTTCTCCCCTCCCTCCTCTCCATTTATTAGGACCTCATGGGCTACTGGAGAAGAAAGAGCATCCACTTTTCCCACGTGACTGCTGTGCCCTGCATGCCTCCCCTCCAGGGAAAGGTGGGAACAAGAATAACTTGATGTTAATCAGCATTTCCCAGCCACTTCTCATGGACCATGGCAGGACAGGGGGACAGGAGGCTCACTGAGACTCCAGCAGCAGCAGTTGCAGCCTGTACCTTATCCAGTTTGTCAACACTGGAGCAGATGGTTCGGAACTTGCTGTCTGGGACCCCACAAACTGCAAACATCCCATCGAGGATGCGCCGGTCGTTGACCTGGGGGAGAAGAAGCACGTCAGGAATCATGGACTCAAACAGATGCTTCAGCCATGTCAGGTTTCCCTCCCCTCTAGCTTTAAGAATGCAAGAGAAACTAGATGTCTGCCAAGACTTTTTTTTTTTCCTATTTGCCATTTCTCTTTCCCATTCCTGGGCAGCTGAGCTGCCCAGAGCAAACCAAATAGCACCACTGACTCCTCCCAGGCCTGGGTAGAGCCTTCACATTTCCTTCTAGAGCCACAGGCACCTCCACTCAACAGAGACAAGAAACCATCAGGGCCTATGAGTCCTCTCATGTAGACATGTAAAAACAGCTCGGGAACAGACCCAGGGTCAAGAAGATGAATTCAGTGCCCTGTCAGTATAAGAGCAAAGGGACATCTGATTATGTTAAAACCTCACTAAGGATTTATTTTTTTTTATTGATAGTATAGTGAATTCCATAGTTTAATTGTCTTCTGTAATAGTAGGTAATTGAGGCCAAGGCTCAGCTGGATTCACATTTCCATGGGTAGTGAAAATGCCTCAGGTCCAGAAAGGACTTGTTGGGAAGGCAGGAGCCTGCAGGCAACACCACACCCCCTGCTAAGGGGGCATCAGGAGCTGGATAAGGGCAGGGATCCTGAACCAGAGCCTGTTGTACTGCAGGCAGTGAACATGACAGTCACCTGCTAAGACAGATATTAGGGAGAAATTCTTTACCATAGGGGTGGTGAGGCCCTGGCACAGGTTGCCCAGAGAAGCTGTGGCTGCCCCATCCCTGGAGCTGTTTAAGGCCAGGTTGGACGGGGCTTGGAGCAACCTGGGCTAGTGGAAGGTGTCCCTGACCGTGGCAGGGATTTGGAACTGCACGACCTTTAAGGTCCCTTCCAACCCAAACCATTCTGTGATTCTATGGTTCTAGTTGGCTGCTGGAATTTTGCAGGGGTCTGTGGTTAGTCCTGGAGAGAACTCTGCCAACTGCAGACTCAGGAAATCTCCTGGCATTCCCAGCCCAAGCTCAGGTCCAGCCTTTAGCATGAGGACACAGAGGATGGGATCAACTCCTGGATCAGGCCTGGGAGTGGGAACAGGTGCTGCTGTGTAAAACCCCATGGACAATGACCACTGCCTCCCACCGTGGCACAGAGAACCCCAGTATCACCTTGACGACAAAGTCCCCGAGCTGCAGGTCACTCAGGATCTCGTGCACGATCTTCAGGCACTCGGCATCGGGAATCATGGGGTCGAACTGCCCGGCGATGTCAAAGTCCTGGGGGCAGAGGGAAAGGCAGTGAGCAATTCATGGCTGCAGCAAAACAGCTTCAGCTCTGCTGGTGACAGCAGCTGGTGTACAGAAACCAACAGAAATGGGATGTGAGAGAGCACCATTCCTTGCAGATGGGATCCAGAAGGGACAGGATGTGGGTTAGGACCTTCTTTCATGGAAGGCAGCAGTGCTGTTGTGTCCACTGCATTGCCAAGAGCTTGTATGCTGTGACCTCCTCCCCTGACCCTGTGACACTCTGAAACAGAGATCCTTGAAAAAACAACAGAAATGAGCCAGCAGAGCCATCAGCAGTAAATAAATAGAACAAAGGAAGCAGGAAGGGGAGGAGAAAACTCCTTCTCATTTGCTATGACCTAAATGCCAAATGTTTTGCCTTGATTCTTAGGATGGGGCTTTTTTAACACACATGCCAATCAAGTTAATGATCAGGGAAGAAGATAAGAGAAGCAAAACTGAGGCATAACCAAAGTTTCAACTGCCAAGAGAGAAAAAGAGATCAAGAAGCCTGAGTGGTCCCCACCAGAGATTGTAAGATGAACTAGCTCACAGAATAACTAAAGCCCAACATCAAGATGCTTTAATAGGCTGATATCCCTTAACTGGAAAACAACAAGGAGAACATCAGTGTTCAGAGAGAAGTAAAATACAGGAGCAACAAGACAGCCATTCTTTGACTCCTATTTAGGAATCCCCAAATGCAAAGTCTTCAGTGAGATTTTGGGTACAGGAATAATTTTAACTAAGTGGGTAAATTTCAACAGGGCTTCACCAAGCTCCCAAAATAAACTGGAGAAGGAGAGAGATGACATCACATCGGTTAATCCTTATCAGCTGAGTGCAAGAAGGGCTGATGCAATCCCTGTGGAAGTTGAGTTAGCAAGTACAGTCAGGAAAGTGCTGCTACCACTGTACATGGCACAGATGAAATCTCACTGAAAAAAAACAGGGACTGGTGAATTATGTTGAAGAAAAGAGGAAGAAAAACCTTCTAGGCTGAGCAGAGAAGGAAAAATCTAAATAACTCCAGGGAAAGAAGGTAACAGCTTGATTAAAGGTGGCCTAAGGAGGGCAAGATTTCTCTAAATATTTCCCAAATGTTTATCTAGGAAAGGGGAAGAATCCCTATCAAGGGATGACAGCTACTGTTTAAAGAGCTGAAGTCTTTAAACAAGAAGTACTCAGATACAAATAAGTTTAGCCTGGATATTAGAAGACCATTTCTAGCTATCCTAGGAGTGAGCTATCCTGGAACAGTCTTTCAGATGGGACAGCAGGCGAAGACCCTGAGTCGTTTGGAAATGGGAATCACCAAGCTGGAGCTGGAAGGTATCCCCAGAGATTGTATGATGAAGCAGGAATATTCTCAAACAAAATAACTGTTTGCAATATGAGCCCCTGGGGACTGTGTCAGTACAGCAGAACAAAGCTGTTCCTCAGGGCTACCACGAGAAAGCCACGAAGGAAATTGCTTTGTTACCTGTTCTGTAATTTGGCCTCTGGCTCTTCCCTTCCTTTGAAGTGAAGATTGACTGAACACAGCACAGAAGTAGCGTAAACCACGGCCTAGCCTGGTTTGTGTGTCCTGCTAACACACCCAGAGCTGAACCGTTGCCAGATTCGGGATCAGAAGGAAATTTTTCCCCTCCACCCGGCTGGCAAGCACTGTGGGATGGAGCAAGGAGCTGCCCTCTCCCCACAGGGTGAAGGTGGTGATACCAGGGGGCTCTGTGACAAAGTTGCCCAGCACACCAACACCCTGTCACAGCTGTCACTCCCACTCTCCCGTTCCCCAGCTGTTTTTCACACTCGTGAGGGCACACTAAGGAGAAGATTAGTGAATCCTCCAGAGATTTCCACAGCCACAGGGAAGGGTGACGCAGCGTTAGACCCTGCATTTTGACAGTGCTACGTGCCCACAGGTGCTGCCCAGCCCACAGCCTCACCCTGCAGTGCCCCTGCCAACAGCCAGACTCACACACTGGTAGAACTCGCGGTAGCGGCCCCGGGTCATGGCCGGGTTGTCCCTCCTGTACACCTTGGCAATGTGGTAGCGCTTGATGTTGGTGATCTTGTTCATGGCCAGGTAGCGAGCGAAGGGCACCTGGGACAGAGGGTTAAGGATGGGAACAGGGAGGGATCATCCCCCCTCCAGTTACCAGTCACAGGCAGCGCTGGGTCCTCACTATCTTCCCAAAACTCAGCAGCTGTGGGGCGAAGAACTGCCAAGAGACAGCTGGACTTGTCACTGCTCCCCGAGGTCTCCACAGCTGTCCAGGACACAGATCACACATGCTGCCATTAAGCATCCCTTCAGGCATCTTCCAGCAGCACCTCAGGCTGGATCTCAGTCTCACGTGGGCTGTGTGCTGCAGCCTGGTCTGGGTACCCTGAGAAACCCCACTCAGTACAAATCTTCCTTACCTCCACACACACGGGGCATGGTGTCAGGGCAGCTTTAGGTTGGATATTAGGAAAAGGCTCTTCCCCCAGAGGCTGGTTGGGCACTGAACAGGCTCCTCAGAGCAGAGGGCACAGCACCAAGACTGCCAGAGCTCAAAGAGCACTTGGACAACGCTCTCAGGGACAGGGTGGGATTGTTGGGGTGTCCTGGGCAGGGCCAGGAGTTGGACTCGATGACCCTTGTGGGTCCCTTCCAACTCAGGATATTCCATGATTCTAAGCATTCCTTCACCAAACAGAAGCAACACACAGTAAATAACAGAGCAAGGGTTCTGCACCCACTGAACCACACTGCCTGCTCACGCTCTCCCTGTCAGTTTGGGGTCCTCCCTCCCCTTCAGGGCAGCACTGCCCCAAAAGGAGGCCAGGCAAGGCCCCTCAGGCTGTGGCAGGATACTGTGAGGTCGTAGCGCAGGGACAGCAGCTCCCCTCCTTGATCCTTCAGATCATAGATGAGCTTCGAGTCTTCCCCGTATTTCCCCGTCAGCGTCTCCTACAACACAACGACACACGAGCAAACAGCACCTTCAGTGGCAGGGGAAGAGCCCTGGAGCAGGAGCGAAAGTGAGGATACCCAGGAGCTGGAAGAAGGAAACTCCACCCTCAACACTTTCAACTGGAGGATCCTCACCAGCTCAGCCCTCACTCACCTTCAGCTCGAACACGGGTGTGTCAATGACTTCTGCCCCGTGGCGCTTGAAGCAGGAGATGATGGCATTGAAGACCCTCTCCCGAATGGCCATTTGCTTGGGGCCGTAGTCCCGTGTGCCCTGGGGTGAGGGAAGGAAAGAAGGAGCAAAGGACACTTTGGGTCAGAGGCATGAAGTGAGAGAGATGCCAGAAACAAGAAGAAGCTGCTAAAGAGACCAAGTCCAGATGCTGGAGACTGAGAGACCAGGTCCAGATGCCAGGTATTGGTAAAAAGTAGCACCAAAAAACACTGGAAAACGTCAGGACAGAGCTCAGACAGAGTCTGCCACGACCTGCAGAGGGAAATCTAAGTCAGGAGTTTCACAATACAGGAAACAAAGGAGCTAAAACATATCCAACAGTCAGAGTTCAGAGCTTCTGAGCCTGACAGTGCAGCCAGGACCTGCCCCCAGCTCTGATTCACACCCAGAAGCCAGACCCCTGCCCAACGAGCCACCCCAAGATGTACAACCAGAGGACAGGCACGCTCTGAAGGTGTGGAACAACCAGCAGCTCTAAAATTTCCAAACATAGAGAAAAATCATCTTTTAAAGTGCAACACCTGTGAAATGCTTGTATATGTGTCACCAGAATGTGCTCACTTCCCATTTCTTTGCTTTTAAGGGTCACTGAATTGTTTCAGTGACCACCTTTAGGCTCTCAGCAACAAATAAATCATTCTTAATTAACTAGACCTTCCACTTTCACTCTCTAGGACCTGCAGGCAGGAGGAAGCAGAGACCAGGCACTTCTAACTCCCCACTCACAGGTTGCTCAGTGATGGGTAGCTTTCAGCTGCCACTGATGAGGCTGAGACAGACTGGGAACTCAACTGTGTTTCCCTGGCACCCACAGAGCTGCAAAATCCCCTTCTCCACAACTTTAAACAGTGAAACACCCCTCAATTTTCTGGGCTCACACCACAGTTACATTTACCAAAGCACACAATAAAGGAAATGGAAAAGGAAGACAGTTTTGAGACATTTAGGTACTGGGAAGAAATTCTCCCCTGTGAGGGTGGTGAGACCCTGGCACAGGTTGCCCAGAGAAGCTGTGGCTGCCCCATCCCTGGAGCTGTTTAAGGCCAGGTTGGACGGGGCTTGGAGCAACCTGGTCTGGTGAAAGGTGCCCTGCCCATGGCAGGGGATTGGAACTAGATGAGTTTTAAGACCCCTTCCAACCCAAACTATTCCATATTTCTATGCTCTCCTATGTCAGTGACATCACCGTAACCTGAGTGATGGTGTTGTTTGTGAGCAGCATTCATAACTTGTCATATAAGCACCAGAAAGTCTCTAAGCCAGTGGGTATCCGGGCTGGGTGCTATCAAAGATGTTTCCACCCCTCTCCCCCCTGCTGCTAAAAGCAAAAGGGAAACAGAAATGTGAAGAAAGGCAGGTGTGTCTGCACTGGGGTTTTGCCCAGAGGTGTGGGGGGGGTTCTGAGGGAAGATGTGCACACAGAGAGGCACAGGAGTGTGCTGGGGGCAGTTACCTTCGGGGTCTTGAGCACAAACTTGGGTTTCCCCTCATCTCCCCCCAGCTGGGCCTTCATCTCCAGCAGCTTTGCCACCTCCTTTGCAATCTGGGAAGGGAACAAGCAGGGAGCTGGGGGTAAGCCCACCCACCAGCCCAGCCTTCCCCAGTACCTTCAGCCTCAGCCTTCCCAGTGTGCCCAGATTCCCCAGCCTCAATACATCCACTATTCCCACTTCCTCAGCAACCAGACGGGCACTCCCTGCTCCTCTCTGGTACTTCTCACTTCTGATACAACCCCCTCTATCTTCAGCACCCCCACCATTCCCTGACTCCCACCACCTCAATCACCACCCCACATCTGTCTCCCCAGTGCCCATCACCATCCCCACCAGTTCATGTTTCCTGCACCCAGCACCCTCCTCCCAACGCCAACACCCCCAGCATCCTTCCATCTAACACCAGTAACCACCAGTTCCAGTCTCCCCTGCACCCTCAGCCCCCTCCGCTTCCCAGCGCTCCCAGTTCCCCAGGGCACCCTCCTCCTGAGCCCGGAAACCCCACCCACCCTCTCCCCAGCCCACCACAGCACCCCCCGCTCCCCCCAGCCCCTCTTTCCCCACCCCAACACCCGCAGCGCCCCATTCCCCGCCCCTCCCCATCTTCCCAGCACCCCCGCTCCCGGTCGCGCCGCTCCTTCCCCCAAAGGCACCCCATTCCCGGGAATCCCGGGAATCCCCGGATCTCCCCTCGGCACCTCGTCGGGGTCGGCCTTGTCCTGCTTGAGCCTCCGCACCGCCTCTGCCTGTGCCCGCACCGCCGCCTCCTGCGCCGCCATGGCCGCCCCGCGCCCGCCCCGCGCCCGCCGGGAACTGCGCACGCGCCGCGACCGGGAAATGAAAGCCGCGGGAGGGCCGGGCCGGGTTTATCACTGTTTTATCTTTTTTTATTAATTGGCTTGAGGTTTTTTTTGTTTTTGTAATAAATTAGTAGTAGTAAAGTAATTTACTCATCAAATTGTATTGCATGTTATATTCGTATATATATATGTTATTGTAATCAATGTTCTGTTAAGGCTGGGGGACTGTAAATTGCAGAATGGTTCATTAATCTGTCAGTATTACAAGCTGATAGTCCTGCAGCTTGCAGTTCTTAAGCTGAAAAGACAAATTATTGTGCCTTGCTGAATAAGTATTTTGTATCTTATTTTTCTAAAAGCATATTGTCTAAAAGCTTACGCATAAAGTAACGAAGGGAAGGACAAGGATCAAAGGGTCAAGTACGAGAACGATACAGAGAATCCAAGATGGACATCTGGAGATACCTACACACTAAGCTACACACTAGGCCTCAAGGACGAAGGACTAATTAAAACTATGGAAAGGAAAGCACCTGGCGACTGAAACGGGCCTGCAGGGAAGCCAACCAGAACCAGACCTGCAAACTTGGATCCAATAGGATAACAAGTGATTATGGGAGGGGAACTGATGAGGAAATAAAAGTTACTGTTTTTGCTTACTGCGCTTGCAGGCCGTGAGTGGAGCAGGGGTCTCCCCGGGCGCCCAGCGTGCTGTTTTGCTTATTTGCATTTTATATAAATCTTCAATAAATTTTTATTGCTATATTTCAGCCTAATTTCATTTACTTATAACATTTTGTTTTGTTTAACATGTAAAAATACAGAGTTCCTCCAAGCGTGCCTCCTCCCCTGCCCCCCCCCTCCAGCTCCGGCCCCCTCGCTGCGTCCGCACGCGTCCCCCTCAAAATTAAGAACTTTATTAGAAATTATTAGCCACAGAATTTATGTATTTTTTGACGCTTTAAAAGGAGCGCGTTAGCCGTAGAGCTCATGTGTTTTCAGTAAAGGTTGGAAGTTCCCAAGGGGAAGCCTATAGTGTGGAATTTCTTGCCAAGGTTCGTTACAGGCAAGAATTTTGGTAAAACAGAGGCGGTCGCTTGCAGCTGTGAAGAGACTGATAAAAGTGAGAAAGACTTTTCGGCATCACCTCCCCTCGGGCTGGTCCTGCAGCCCCGTGCAGCGCCCGAGTGCGGGCTGGGAGTGGGACTGGCCCTTCCACTGCCCTCCTCACCCCATGTCCTGGGCCTGTGGGTGCCCAACATGCTCCCTCCCCACTCCAGAGCTCAGCCTGATGATCCCGCTGGAGCTGCACCACGTCCAGTCTGTGCCCATGGAAACACCACCTGCAGTGATGGGAATGGCTGTACAGGTGCAGGGACTGCACTATTAGGAACCCACAAGCTCAACCCGTCCTTCAGAGCACTTAACCAGAACTTCAAGCTGGTGACTGCGCTGTCCCATAGCTTTTAAAACCCCCTGGCTCCTCTCTTCTTGCTGCCTTAGCCCAGGCAAGGAGCCTTAGGCTGGTGGATGGTAACCAGGCCTCAGCCGGCAGTGAATGGTTAAGGGCACTGCAGGGTTCCAGTTGTACAGCAGTTCAGCCAAGCAGCTCTGGCCAGAGAAGTCCTCAGGGCTCCAGCCTTCTCCTGATCTCATCAACAAGCTTCTCCCTTGGGATATCAACCTACAAAGCAAAGAGAGGAGGAGGTAGCAGCATTAGAACAGAGCACAGTTCCAAGGACCAAAGGCTTGCTTTGGGTACTAACACAGTTTGTGACTGGTTTTCTGGAGACACCCAACAGACCTGTGCTATGGCTTCTCAAAGGAACAACGTCACTGAGGGAAAACCCAGAGCCTTTCAGTGATCTCCAGAGTTTGGAAGCACTTTTGACACCTGGATAAAAGGACATTCTTACCTCCTCTCGTGTTGAGACATCTCTCAGCTTGACAACTCCGTCTGCCAGCTCCTGCTCTCCTACAATGGCAGCAAGGGGGATCCCCGTGTCCTCACAATACTGCAGCTGCTTCAGCAGTTTAGGATCCTTCTTGTACAGCATCTCTGCCTAGCAGGGAGTGGGAAGGACGAGTCACTAACCCAAATTTGCTTTGATGGATACTGGAGCAAAGCAGCCACCACAAAACCCTGCAGCAAGGGGTTGCCTTTAGTGCTCTGGGCTGTTCTTCTGTGCCTGCCTAGACCTAACGGTTGGACTTTGTGATCTTCGATGTATTTTCCAACCTGAATGGCTCTGTGATCTCAGACAGGCCCAGATCTTGAAGAGAACACAACTAATGGAGTTGGTCTTGCTGTGCTACAGCTCCTTCAGGCTCCCCGTCCCTCACCCATGACACCACCGAGCTCAAGTGGTTCCTTTACCTTGATCCCTGCGTCCCACAGCTCCGAGATGAGCTTCAGTCTGGCAGCAAGCAAGTGTTTCTGGGGTGTAGCCACCAGCACTTGGGTTTCAGTTGTGCGAAGTTTCTCCCCAGAAGCCTGGAGGGACAGACACGCTCGTGGGAGGGACCGGCTCTGAGGGAATCTGCAGCTCACAGCACCTCACCTCATCTCCAGACCTTAACTCAGTGACTGACAACCTGGGCACCTTTAATGAGCCCCCCAGAGACTCTGCATTGTGTCACAGTAGTTGATCATGTGCTGCTGCTCCCGTAGGACTTTAGCCTCCCTCCCACATGGGACCTGGACAGCTTTCCAAGGTCTCCTTTGATTCTCCAAGTACAAACACATTGCCTTGGCCTCCTCTGCCATGAATCACAAGCTCAGAACTAAATACAGTGATGAATCTCCTCAGAGGCTTTCCTGGGGTGCTCATTACAGAGTGTCACAGACAATATCAAATTCATCGCTTCCCAATCTCCAGGACAGGAAACTTCACAGGCAAGACAGGAGCAAAGTGAATGGGGCAAAAAGCTCAGAGCCAGGCCCAGAGCTCAGGGCTCTAACACTTCCTTGACATCTCCTAGGGAATGCTGCCCTCAGCTGCCCATACCTGCATCATGATGGGCTGCAGAAAAGGGCTCTGTCTTCTGTGCAAGGACACTCAGACATGAAAGGAGCCACCCTCACCCCCCAAATTATTTTCCCTTGAATACTGTGGAGCTGTGGATCTCTAATAAACGATAGCTGACTTCCTAGAGCCTCCTCCAACGCGCTGCCTGCAGCACCCACCTTCAGCCTCTGCTCCAGGATGGAGAAGATCCGCTCGATCCCAATGCTGA